TAAAATTGATTAATATAATAAATTATTTTCTTTCAAACTTTCTGTATGTGTGAAAACAGATGGATAGATGACAATGGGATGACAAAGAAAATGGGAGAAATTTCTTTAGCGTCTGATGGCGATACTGAGTGATTGATTGGCAACATTAAATATGACTAGAGAAATAGACACGTGTACCATTTTGTCACGCAAGTTACAATATTTCACACAATTCATCTATCACAACGCTATCTTATTCTTTAACCTTCTAACTATAAAAATTATCTGATCCAAGCAGCGGACAAACATGAAAAAGATAGGCGATTTTTAAAGCGATCAAATTTTTATTAATCATTCTTTATTTGAAGAAAACGCTTATCGAAACGCCATCGATCATGCAAACGGTATCTTATGCAGTTAGCAATAATTATCGATTGTCTTTCTCTTTAAACAATTTCTAGCGCTTACAACAATATATAGTATTTTTGATATTTTAGAGATAAACTGAGAGATTAATGTTCGCGGACGTTCGCGGATGTAAAGTCCTCGTGAACGTTATATCAGTCGGCACGAAGGTTGCGTTAGACGGGCGCGATCAATATACGCACCATTAGTAACATTAAGCAAGTAATCGTGTGAATCATCCGTCAGAGGAAATTAATAGTGATATTATTAATAGGACGTGCACATTCCGTGCGTATAAAAGTGTAACGCCAAGTAGAATTGAGATCATTGAGATTAATCGTCCTCGCACTGCCGAATGCTACGGAAATTGGAACGAAGTGTGGGTGGTCATGGTGGAGAATAGAGAACAGATTCTTCTTGGGAACGATTTTCATTGTTTATCGTTTAAGTTGAAGTACATCTCAATATACAAATCACATCGCCTGTGCCCTACGAAGTAGTAGTATATGTCGCCGCTCCTCTCACCGGAGCGTCTGAGTTGTTCTCTCGTTCGCAGCCTCAACAAAAGGGGCTATCGCGTTTTTCTCTCTCTCTTCGCACCGAAGGATCGAGCGACGTGTGCCTAAAGCTCTATGTTACTAAAGTAGTGCAAAAGTCCATATTGGCCTTACTAACCTTATATATATATATATATATATACCAATAATACTAAGCGCTTATTGGACTATAGACAATTAGGGCCAAAATAGCGGTCGAAATAGCCAATAGGACAGTTGTCGGTAATTCGGCTCAGATCAAAGAAACGCGCTACTTTTATTAATATAGAGCTTTACGTGTGCCAGGCCCGAGACACGATGAAATCAAATAAACAATTTATCGACAAACAATACGGGGGAATATCGGAAACGGATATTCGTTTATACTTTGCATATAATGTTTCGCATCAATCACCCTGTCTGAATATTCCCCTTCATAGCCTCGGTAGACTCGAAGCTATCTATTATCTGTTTGATTCTTTGTACGTACATATCTGTCTTCTGATATATTTGTTGATCGATATAGTTGATTACTTTAATGTGCGTTGTCGGAGATTTTATCCGCTGTCGTTATACAATCTGCCTTTCGTTGTCTTCATCGTTTCTCGACCCTCACTCGTCTCCGCTGTATTACTTACAGTCATCGCGCGAGGGAGATTGCCGGAACTAAACGAAAAGGCGGAAGGGATGGGAAAATAAGTGCGAAAGTAGAACGCGGTCGAAATGCGCTCAAGCAAGCTCGGCAGCAACGTTAGCGATGTATAAATCACATCTCGTTATGACGATGATACGGGATGATGGGGATGAGAAATGATAAAAATGATCATGACGGCGCTAATGCGGCAAATGGAACGTAATAATCTCGATGATGATCAATAATAAATGATTACGATAATTGGCATCTAATCAATAACTTACGACCTTGGCGATTATAATCACCTTGTCGCATTATTCAATGAGAGATCTGGCGACGAATAGGCGAGGAGCGCGCGCGGAGGTGGACATTATGATTAGGACAGAGAAAATTCGATGAATCGTAAATTCGAAAAAGATTAATATATATATATGTATATATACACATAAATTACATAATATATTACTACATACAATTTTCGTTGAGATTAAAGAATCAAGCATAAAAGATAAAACAATTTTCGGAATTCCTTTTTAATACATACAAAGAGAACTCGGAAAAAATAATAATTACATAAATAAAATGAAATTAACGCATAATTATGTATTATTTTTTACAACGATGACAAAGAAGTGTGCGCTCGCTTTTTCGAATTTACCATGTTACCGAACTTTCCTCGCAAATCGCGACGAGATGGACTCTGCGTCAACTTACTCCGGATTAGTTATCTGCTATTCCTTCGCAAGTTTGTAGACCTATCTACGATACGGATAGAGGAAGGAGATTCAGTTAATCGGAATAAGCGCTAAAACAAGTTCGGTGATAAAGCATAACAGTATAATATACTTCGGAATGAAACGTGCTCTTACGCTAGATATGCGTGACGAGGTAAATGGCATGCGATTTGGAGATCACTCAATACGTAACGGAAAGTCGACACTATCGGTAAGAAACGAATCGGTATTAATACAAAATTTCTCGAGTGAATGATAACAGTGGCGAGTACACCACGTTTTTCTCGATGTTTGGTTCACGACGCGCCTGAAATGTTTATCTTAGTTTTTTCTCCTTCGACAATACGCTTATTCATTTCGTTCACTTCTTTTTTCTTTTCTTTCATACATTCAGATTGTAAGTTCGGCCGTTAAATAAATCAGATTTCAGCTTGTATTCATTGTATTACCGTATACGTATTCACACCCTCTCTTATTAAAATTATTCTTTACTACATACGCTTGTATTATTGAAAACGTAAATACCTTTCGAGGTAGGACGGCGGACTCATGATCTTCCCGGCTTACCAAAGTTTCATTTAAACGATAGTCATGCAAACACGAAAGCGTGTTTTCTTAGAACCACGTTTCATGCTTCTAAATGAGCTCACCTTTGTCGTGTATCGTCGTACGCGAACGCATTAATTCTCCAATCGCTTCCTGGCAATCGAATTTAATAAAAAAAATTCAATGTAAGAATAAAACATATCCAGGCAGAATTGATTTCTTTTAGATACAACTTCTGAAGTCTTCAAAATAAATATTGCTATTTTTGCATTAAATCAATTATTGCATTAAATCTATATAATACCCGTTTCTACGAATGTAAGATCAACTTTAATCTCTTCGTCTTTTTTTAATTCTTAGAATTAAAAAAGGATGGAGAATTAGTTGAACCAAGATTAAAATTAAACTACATTGGTAGAAACGAGTTTACTATTCTATCAATGCAGATAAATTTCCACAGCAGATCCTTCCAGAAATATTGCAGTAACATTGTAGTAATGTTGCAGCAATGCTGTTGCAAGTTCCTTGCTGTATGTTTATCTCGGTTTACTCTTTTTCTAATTCTAAGAGAATTAGGAAAAGATAAAAAGTAAGTAAAAGCGAGATTAAAATTAATCTATATTTGATAGAAATGTTAAGGATGTAATGATAGGACGTAAGTTAGATTTGTCTGCATCGCTATACTGATATTGATTTTGCTGATCATGCATTCCGATACGAGCGATACAGCAAGGTGCATGACGTGAACTTCCCAATCGTCTTACACGTCCAAGTCCTTTCCTCGAAGGATAATTGGGAATACAGGTTCTACGAATAAGAATAATATCACCATATGCAGTACAGTCGTAGATGCCCCTTGAAATCGTCACAGCCTCTGGCAGATTAAAAATAACGCAAGCTACAGTAATGTCCTATATTAAATTCGGCATTCGCTCAACGACGAACGGTGACATCGCGTCTCCGAGCAACGACTCGCGTTGTCGTTCCCGATCGTTAAACGAATCTCGAATTTGACATTAAAAAAAAAAGAAGTTACAGTTAACTAAAGTTACAAGAAACTAAACTATTCGAGCTGTTCCTTCTGTGCTTCGTCGCCAAAAATCACCATGCGAGTGAGACTGTATCCCTCCGATAATCGCGAAAAGATTTTCCGACGTTCCTAAGGGTACGTACCGTTTTGCGCTTACAGCGCTTGTAAGCATCATTTGTTCTTGTTTAATATTTGATAGACGACAAGGATGACCTGATGCTTACATTGTATGGGCGTGAAAACGGAACGCATCCTATAATCGCGAGCGGGACATTCGTCCCAAACGTGACAGAAAGTGGACACGCAGAAACTCTCTCGCAGGCCACGAGGTCAAAATAAAAAAAGTGCGAATATTCAAATACATTTATATAAATTGAAAAATCGCGTGGCGATATCACTTGACGCTGCCTGATTAAAAAAAGAGAAAAATAGCTTTAAATTTAAATCCACGATCGATTTCGGACAAAGCAAGCATGAAGTCACGTGACATGCACGTTCTCTATTTTTCACGTGAGTCGTATGATGATCGCTATAATTACGTGTGATCACACGTTAGATACGAGCGAACATCGTGATTGGTTCTATCTTTTCTTTCAATGTCTATTTCTACTCTTTTTATCTCGATTTAACTTTTGTTAATCAGGCAAATATGGGACGCTGATACTATTTCTTTCATCGGAAAAGTGTCGTAAACATCGCATACATTTTTAAAAAGAATAAATTTAATTTATTTGAGTGACGTCTTTTGTAGAGATCATTAATAATTTTTAAACGTTCTCAATTACGAATATACTAGTTAGTTTTTAAAACCTATTTCCGTTTCACTAAATTACATTTACAAAGGAAAGACTTATGTTTTTTCATAGATGTAGACAAGGCAGAGCAGGTGAAGGAAGAACCTGAGATTTCAAAGCTGGAAAGAATTAAATTGGATCGAACAGATTTTTCATCTTTCAAAGACTTTCGATCTTTATATAATCTGTTATCACAAATAAAGCTTAACAAGCATTCTCAATCGCAAAAATCTGCATCCCACTGTCGGGCAAATGTCGTTAATTTAAAAGAAGCAGAATTACTGATGATGTCACCTTGTAAAATTACATATCTTCGATCTCTTCGATCTCTTTATGCCTTCCCTCTGGTGCCCCCTCGTTCACAAGAAATCAAGGAGAAGAGTATACAATCCCGCGCACGATCATGCGTTAAAAAGTCAGTTCCATCGCAAATACGTAAATGTATACACAATTATCACGAGTCAGTCTCCAACGTGAGCGATGATGCGGTTTACCGATGAACTTTCCAACGTGTACCGTACGTAATGTGGAATGTGTGTATGTCCCTCTATGTGTGTGTACGTGTGTGGGTATATGCGCGTGAGGCGTGTATCTCTGGGATTATTCGGTTTGCATGGTGATCGAGCAGTAAAGCGGAAGTCGAAGGGTTACCGGTTACTCCGAAGCGCCTCCTCTGCCGCCGCAGTAGCTGGTCAGTTCATTTATCGTACACGGGTTGATGCAGCATTCCTCGTGGATACCTCGACCCTGCCTTCGATAACGCCTGCCAGCGAAGCGTCCCTCTAACATCCCCCGTGCCCTCGCTCGCGGCAAAAATGGGGGAAACTCATAGGCGATCGGATAATCGGCCATTTCCATTTCTGAAACAAAAACGAATCTGTAAATAGGCATCGTAACTTTAATAAATGGTAATAAACTTTAATTGCACGTCAATAAACCAACAAAAATTCTGGTATTTAACTTAATAAGCGCTTTCGTTTTATATCTCATTCTCGTTTACTCTCTGTACATTAAGTATGTGCACTAAAAAAAGAAGTGTAATTTTAAGATATTAAAATGTTTTATTCCTGTCTCCGTTTTTTAAATATTTAAAGATGTTTAAATTTTAAACTTCTTCAATAAACAAAACACTACGTGTTTGGATTTAAAACACTCAGACATTTAAAATTGAAATATCTTTTATTATTAAACATTTATTTTGCAAAGATATTTCAATAGTTTTAAAGGATCGGAAAAAAACCCAATTTTTCCAATTTTTCCGTGGATCTTTTCGATTTTTTTCCCAAGGATAGAAAAATTTATTTTGGAAAAATTCACGCGTGCTCGTAAAACCTACCACGTTTACTTCTCGGTTCGTTTCGTAAAGAAAATAATTGCATATAGGGTACACAGCGGGATAAATTAACAGAAATTTTAAAATTGTATAAAAGATTGAGGTCGCATAATGTATTCAATAAAATATACAAAACATTACACCATTACACCATTAATGTAAGAATTAAAAATATAGAGTCCAAACATCATGTTTATATGATAATAGTAGGTCTAGAAAATAATTTGAATTTAAACTGAATTCGTAATAAAATATTTGAAAAAAATAAACTACGAAGAGACACTTCAGGAGTTCATTAGACCGAAGTCTGACAAACTAGAGTTAAAAATCTGTCTACTTAAGCTTTGCCATGTACTAAAGGAAGGTTAGATTAGGTTTTACTATAAAAATAGGAGGATAACTAAAAAATTTTAATAAAAATAATGCTACATAATTTCATAGATCGCATTAATTTTATAAAGGAATTTAGAAATTACTTATATGTCTTTTACATAGCAAAAACAGCAATTTTTCAAAAAAAACGAAATTTTTCCGGTTTTTTTCTAGCAATTTGAAGAAAGCGGCTTTTTTAAAACTATATTTTAAACGTTAACACTTTAAACACTACATTTTTTACAATGTGCCTTATTATTTTACGTGTGGAAACATCTAGAAAAGTTTTGAAATTTTCGAAAAAGCTTTTGTGATCAAAAGCTTTTTCTTTCTAAAATCATACCTTGGGTGCGAACGTAGTCAAAGTTGCTATCTCTGCTATCGACGTTCGCTTCTTCCCGCGCTGCGAAAGAAATCAAAGTAAAACATTGTTTGAAAATCTCAAAACTTTTTTAGTGATCGAAAGTAATAAAAAGAACCTTTGAGCGTAATTTATACAAAAGGAAACAAAATTTTACAAAGTTTTAAACAGATTATAAACGTTTCCAGTTAATATTAATTAAAAGTAACATAACATCTATAACGTTATAATTTCGCATTCAACAATATAAATGTAACATAACAAAAGGTGTTAATAAGAATTACATTATTGAGTGTGAAATTATATAATAAAACATTACTTTTAGTAACATTACTTTTAGTAATATCGACTACGATAATTGGCACAAGAGCCGTTGATTGTAATGTATATTTAAAATCGAACTAGAATAATTTCATTTGTGTAATCATGTTTGCCTACGTTTTATTTGAAAAATTTTACGTGTTTTAGAAAAGAAAATGGGGAACTTATTTACAATACGTGTCACATATATCACATTATTCGAAAAAAATAAATAACGAGAATTTGCTTTCCACGATCATCAATAAATTGGACTGGCACATCTAGATCCCGGTGTCAGATTATACAAATCTATTTGATCGATTAAGCTCGGTGATAAGTTGTTTTACGTGTCCGAAAAAGTTTACTTAAAAATTTCCGTTGTAAATTTGCATTTACTTCCTTAAAAAAAACCGCGAGTAAAGAGCCGCCGCTAAAAAATATAATGTCCCCGATTGTCGGTGTATTTAAGTCATTCGACGATTATGGAGAGTGCGTCGGCTTATGATCCCACTCGGGAATACGTAATACGAGCTTACATGCATTATTCATTGGCGACAAAGTGGCGATTACTTGGTTAATTGCGAGCACAGATTGATCGCGTGCTTAATCGCCTTTTGTAAAAGACCACGCTTGAGAAGCCGTTAAAATTGAAGGGTCCGACCGATAAAAGTTCCCTTAATCGGTGGGCAGCTCAGTCTATAATGTTCGCTTTAAACGTGAGGTTGTATCTAAAGTGAGCTATACGAATTATAGGCTGACCTCATTCTTATATTGAGCCGTTTAATTATACGTCTAGTGCAAATTAAGCCTCATTCATACTTCGAAACGAGTCACTTTAGATATACGGGTTTAACGTTATAGGAGTGATGGACAGTTCGAAACGCCAAATGAACGTTATATCTGTTTATGGATATTTTTCACTAAATATCCCGCGATATCCAAATCTATGGATAGCCAGTAATTTGGCATTTATGCTGGATAAGTATCAGTGCCTTTATTATAAAATATTTGTCGCACCGTCGCGGGTGACATTAATCGAGAAAGAAGGAATGCGAACGGCATTAATATTAATGACCATGTCGCCGTATTACAAATGCAAATTTCGTCACGAGGCGTCTGCCATCGAGAAATCTTCTTTAATATTATTCCTTAACTTCCTATTATTAACTTCCTGAATTATATGCTTGCACGCGTGCAAGAGCGTCATTGACATATTCCGGACGCGTGATTTTCCTCTCGCAGATCGCTTGTTGCAAATCAAAAAATTAAAAGGAAAACATCAATAATGGACATTTTCATGTCTCTTAAAAAAAATCGATATTCCGTTCTCTACAAATTTAAACGATAGAGATTAAAAATGTGCCAACAAATAACCAATTAAAAAAAGCTTAATTATATTAAAATTATATTATATTTATATTTAGTTATATAAATACAAATATAAATCAAATAAGATATGAGTCAAGTATAAGTCAAATATTCTCATCGGTCTAAATTTTACTTATAACTGTTCAGATATAAAATTATTTTATTAAATTATTTAAACCAATGTTTAAGACTTAATCCTATTATCCTATTATTTGTTTCTTGTAGACATGTGCAATTTGAAAACTAACGGTGAAAGATGCCTATTAAGGCTGAAATAATCAGCGAATAACCGCTAGTTAAACAGTCGCTTTGAGCTATGATTATATCAAGAATGAAATACGATGCGTCTCTTGTGTCCACACATTTAGAAACATAATTGCTTAACGTTATCACGCGAAGAAAGAGAAATAAGCATAAATTGTTGCATTCAGTAATGATCTATTACTACTACATTTTTATCTATTACTCGATATCGGAAGCGAGTGATAAGAGCGCTTCCTCTATCGATTAGCCTCAAACTCACCTTGACCACTCTTCTTAAACATGGAATTGTACACGCCATCACAGATTATCTGTAGAGCATTGGAAAGCTTCTTGCCGCAATATTTCTGCGGCGCACTCACGGCGGATCGCTTCGAGCCGAATTGCGGATAGCCATCCACCTGTGCGTTTCCTGATTCCGTCACAAGAAGCGCGACGGCGAGCATCAGGATCACCAGCACGTTTAATCGATTCGCGGACATCTGAAAGTGATACGATTCTCGTTTAATTACATTCAGGAAATTAAATTCGTCGTCTCACTAATCTTCATTCGCTTTACTCTGCAATTAGATCACAAAGTTCCTATGAAAATAAAATTGAATTTCTGTAAGCGGATAGAAGTACGTCAAATTGATCGACTCGGCAGGCTTTAATATTTATTGTAATTAGCTTCGCTCAAGATTTGCGTTGAAGACGATTTTAGAAAAAGGAGAGAAACGGGATAAAAAAAAAGGAAACTCATAAGTATTCCCTAAAACTTTTAATTGTCATTCTGAAGAGTGAAGTCTCACTTTTAAAGATTGAAAATCTTTTTCAAAACTGGCTCAATTTTCACTCTTTAGAGTGAGATTCCACTCCAAAGAATTTAGGGAGTACGTTTATTAAAAGTGGACAGAAATTGCGGGGCGCGCAGCGATCTCATCTATCGGTGTCATCACGCAGCCTTTGAGTAAACGAATAAAAATGAAGTTACATATCTGGGACAACAGATCGGACAAACTGTTTACTAAAATAACGTCTCATTATACCGGCATATCCAAAATTCTGACAAAGTTTTCTCGACGCTGATATTCGTTCGGACATATTTTTTTAGCTGTTCGTTTAGGCGACGGTATCATTAAAGCGTAGAAACACATCATGTGATTCGACATCAGACCTCGCCTTGGGAAACTCGGCGTTGCGTCCGGTTTATCGGGATTAATTGAATGCTCGCGTATATAACCGCGACGGCGCGCGGCATTCCAGCGGTCGCGCAGGGTGCCTCTATTTTTAGATATCTTACACTTAATTATAAATCTTGCGACACAGCGAGAGAAAGAAAGAAAGAAGGAGAAAGAGAGGAGAGGGAGGGAGAGGCCGCGTACTTTCGTCCGCGGATGTCGTGTAATCGACGCGTCGCGTCGCAACGGGAGTCACCGACAGAACAAGAGAAAGAGAAGTCGCCTCTCGCGCTTTGTCCATAGGAGCGACCTTTGTTCATCGCACGTTTACGCCAGCATAATTGCGATCTACTCCTCGATCGGACTTAGTACGTGTAGATCCTTTCCGTCCCTTCGTTAATTTACGGACGCGAGACACGACGTTCGTTTCGTGCCTCTTAATTTCAGAGATGTCCGAATCCATCTCGTTGAAGTAACCCTACGAGACAATATTCTTGGAGAGTATTATGAATATTAAAAAGAACAAATAATATTTATATAACATTCTAGGAATATTGCGTACTCTTATACGGGACTTTCGATTACATTCATGAGACAGTGCTATTTTGGAACAAAAAGATAATTGCGCGTGGGGGTATTTTAATGAGGTAAACTTTTCATGTGTACAAGCGCATACACGCACATACGTACACAGAGATATGGCTTTCTAGGGTATTATCCTAGTTTGCTTGGGATAGGTCACCGGTGTTTCTGCTGTATCTCCTCGAAGTTTCACCAGCGACCGCTGTTATGTCTGTGATAGGATTAGAACAATGTTGACTTGTTTTGCAGGCTACGTCGCATTCGATTAGTCGCGTTATCAACGAAAATGGAAATAAGGCCAGCGGCCTTGATATGTGAATGTATGCGGGACTATGGTATAACACCGTATAATTTTACAAAACAATAATTCTACGCGATCTCAAAATATTTGGAATATTATCAATGTAGGTTTGAAAAATTAGTTGTGTAGATATGTATATATAGAGAATAATTATAAAATAGAAATGAATTACGGCGCATAAAACAATCTAAATAGAAATAAACACACAAGACTATAATCTTCGTAAAATTTAAAATAAAGAAAATGTATTTATAATTATGTAAAATTATTTTCTACGATATTCGATATCTCGATAATTCAGCTTTGAGAATTAAGATTCCAGTAAGATGTATTTTACATTGAAATGGATTCTGTCATTCTTTTTGCGTCCTCGAAGTTAATGAAGCTTCAAGCTTTACGTAAAGGTCCTCCATTTCCAATGGCTTACTCGGTAGCTATTAGTCTCGACAGTTTAACTATAAGAGAAATCGATACCAAACGTTTCTGCTAATTCTGGTAGAATATTGATTTTCATCATTAATATTATTTTTAATTGCGACACTGTGTGTACGTCAACCGACACGGTCTAATTTAAATTTTCGTTCAATATGCATTATTTTGTCGTTTCTAGGTTGATAAAACTTATTCACGATCGATTGGCGTATGCAATATCATTAGGTAAACGCGTACCCGAGTTGTCGTAGCAGACACACATTGACTTGCCTCCTTCAAAACAAGTTACGCGAATATAGGGCAGGCAACTTCTATTTCCGGCGCATCGTGCTGATGGGAATTAGCGTTCAACACTAAGCAATAACCGAAGGAAGCGACGCGTGTTGATGTCGAAGTTATCTAACTCTATTTATCTTTTTCGTGCGATTAGTAGTAGCACGATGATGAAAACACGCGTGTGCAACTTATAATTCTAAAGGAGTGTTGCTTCATCTTCTATACATTCAACAGATTGATCAGATCATTCATTATTACTCTCTTCGTGTCTTTTAACCCTCCAACATCACTTTTGTACCTTTTAAGGCACAGTCGGTATCACGTTTTTCTCAAAATTCTTATTCAGATTTTAATAATCAGGCGCAAGAAATAAATAAAATACAGTCTAATTTTTATTATAATAAAAACTTATTGTTAAAGGTTTCGCAAGTGTACAAAAATTTTTTTCAGATTTTTATATAATTCGGAACCATAAAAAATATATGCTGTTTCTCTCAACGACCCAGAGTGCAAAATATGATAAAAAATTTCGAGGTAATGCTGGAAGGTTAAAATTAATTAGTCAATCCCTATATTAGAGATTCATTATTTTTTTCATTATACTGTTTACTGGGTCGTAAAATTGAGAGTTTGCACGGATATTTGCGAATTTTTTTAAGTATCCAAGATTGACGATTAGTTCTTTTTTTCTTTCGTTGTGAAAAAATGTGTATCGGACAAAAAATAGAACCAGACGAGGTAAATAAGTGTGTTTTTGAGCGGGAATGCAGGCGGCTGAGACGCGCGGTATCTCACTGTGAAAATGATAAGCGCGATCGCATGCCGTCGACATGAATGCACAAAATAAAATTAAAAAGAAAGGTGTATCAGCGAAAATCGAGATACTCGAGCACGATATACGAGAGAATAGAGAGTTTTTGCAATAACGTGAATCTAGATAAGGTGAACGCCAAAATCACGTTATCCTTTTCTTAATTAGTTGTTAAGAAAAAGATAACCTGACCTTAGCGTTCTGGATAAACCGTATCTGGATAAATGATATTGCAAAAATTTCCTAATATCTCAGTCTTGTTCCATAATCTGTAAAGCCTATATCGGACTTATAAGAGATTGAGGATTACGAGAGAGAGAGAGAGAGAGAGAGAGAGAGAATTAGAGATTAAAGTTCGACCAGTCAGATAATTTTAATTTTAATTCGTTTTGTTACAGAAATCTAATCTTTAATTCACAATCCTTAATCTCCATGCATGGGCTGTGACATGGGCTTAAAGCCTGGATGGGATTACGCATTGGAGATTAAAATTCAATCAATTAGAATGAAACGAATTAAAATTAAAATTATCTGATTGATAAAATATCTGATCAAATTTTGCGATCATATTTTGCGTGAGGGATACAAATTAAATACTTTGTCTCATTGAGAGCTGGTCCTCTCACACAGAATGAACGATTTTGCTGGATATATCGATATGAAAATAATTTTATTGAACCGTCAAAATAATTTTGTTAGAAAATCAAACTAATTGCTATAATATCAAAATGTGTTTTGCAGCATTGTTAATCATTTTTTAGTTTCTAACATAGTTATTTTGATGATCCAACAAAATTATTTTCAGATCTGTAATCTCTAAATTCTTTGGAGTGGAATCTCACTCTAAAGAGTGAAACTTGAAAAAGGGTAGCTTAATTTTCAATCTTCAAGAATAAGATTTCACTCTTCAGAGAAATTCACTTTAAAAGTTTTAGAGAGTATCTCCAGCAAAATTTCAGATCTTTTAGCAAAATCATTCTTTCCGTACAGGAATGAATGTACAGTGAGGAAATTTTTAAAATACATTCGAGATACGTTAGCTTATCCTCGTTAAAAAGTATTACAATATTAATCCTTATAAAATGAATACTCTTTAAATTTTTCAAAATGGAATCTAAAGAATGAGATTTTACTCTTCAGAGTGATATTCACTTTAAAAGATTTAGGCCCATTTCTACCAATGTAGATTAACTTTAATCTCAAACTTCAACAGTCTTCAACTTTATCACTCTTTATTTTTTTCTAATTCTCAAAACTGGAAAAAGGTGAAGGGTTAGTTAAACCGAGATTAAAATTGAACTATATTGGTAGAAACGGGCCTTAGAGAGTATATTGATTTCTTTGAATGCGCATCATATTTTGTGTTGCGTGAGATAATACTGTATCGTACTTCAAATTTGCATAAAATGAGACCGAACAACAATTACCGTGTCGATAACGTACGCGTATGCCGTTCATTGGCTTCTCGTCCGGCGCCTCCAACGGTTGTAAACAATACCGAACTACACAGATCCTCCCGGCGCTCTCGAGAGAAAAGACGCATTTCACGATAGCGAAAAGTCCCGTAAATTGAAAAGAGGACTCGTTCCGGAGCGTCGTCTTGATCTCGCCCTCCCTTTCTCCACTCCTCCACCACTCACGGGCTATTCTCTTTCACTCTCGTTCCTTTCTCTCGTGTCTACTCTCTCTTATATGACCAGAGCGTTTCTATTTTTGTCCTCGTCTTTTCTCTTGGTATTATCTGCGAAGTACCGCCGGCAGACACGAGTAATAAACACGTGTATATAACACTCGGAAAGATACTAAACGGGCCGCACTTATACGCGCTCGAGGGAGCGCACTTACGTCCGATCGAGTGCGAACCAGCCAGGGGTGATCGACTTTCCCGATTAGAGCGCGATCGCGTACGCCAGAGAGCTAGAAAACTTTTTCATTTTTTTTCTAATGAACGGACAGACAGGTGTGAGATGAACGGCTAAAAGATCACGGGGGAGTAGGGAGTTCTAATTTCCCTCAATTGCACTTGGATTTCGCACCGTTCTATCGTTGCTGTGCGAATTAAGATTGACTTTGCACGCTGAGAAAAATATTTTAAATTTTAATAAATATAATTTATTTGAATAGTGCCAAGTAAGTATTTATTTACAGTAAATAAATATTTATTCAATAAAAAGAAATAATAGTTAAATTAAATTAATGGTTTTTGTATCAAATGAATATATTTTTATATTTAATAAAATTTAGAATATTTTTCTTCAGTGCAGAAATCTAAATAAAAACATCCTATACTTGATGCTGTAAAACAAATCTATAAATTCTTGACATATATGTTTAGTATCTCTTTTATTTTTTATTTTCTAAGTGTATACAAACAATTGCGATAAGTATATATAGGTCGAGTGTTAACGAAAATCTTTTATTATCTTATTTATTTGGTTTTATTCGTTTCTTAATCTTCAAAGCTGAATTATCAACTTCCTAATGCATGTTATATAGAGGAAATTTATCTCCATCGGATTTCTTGAAATACGGCCGGGAGAATTTTGCATCGTTGAGTGTGAGTCATTAGAGATAAATCCAAATTTTAATTTAATTCAGAGTTCATTCGAGTTTGTGTGTCTAATGCGTGCGATTTCTTGAATGAGAGAATTACATCGTATCCCTGGTTAGCATGTCGTAAACATTGATCCGTGCGTGTCGTATACGATAACGACTTTTTGCAAAGTGTATTTATATATTATAAATATACTAAAACGTCTTGAGAGAACAAGTTTTCGAGTGACGATAAATTTTGTTGCTCCTACTTATCATAAAACGGAAGATTGCCTCGGATTTCGAAATGAGAGTATCGTTCGGACATTTCTTAGTAATTTAATCAAAATCACTTCATCCTTCGTGTAGGAGAATCTTATGCAATTAAGCAGAATTTATCGTACTTACGCCTTACAAATTACGAGCGGTAAGATGCGAGTAACATGAAGTTGTAAAGAGAGTTAGTGTATTTTCCGCGCGGTATCCTCAACGCGTGAATTTGCGATTAAAAATCGGCAGCATTGAGAAGAGGATAATGATTAAACGTATCAAAGTTGCAAGAGACGGTTTTAAATTTAATGATTCTCGCTCATTACTTTGTGCGTGATCGTTAATTGGCTGCGTCATCGGGCCAACGTATAATTTGAAGAAATGGCTCGGACAAATGAGACTTCCAGAGGCAGATGCACTCTCTAATGATACAATTGCACGGTGCACGAGTACCAAATGTGCTGCGCTCATATATGTCAATTTGAAGAACACTCGCATAGCACTTGAGGCGGCCATGCGTGACTAGAATTAGTGTCAGCCCGTTGTCTCTGAATAATTCGAGATTCAAGATAATCGACTCTCTCTTTCTCTCTTTATTCTTCTTTTCCTCTTCCTTGCAACGATTCTGATTTGGAGCGATAATTTACAGTAGCTGCAACGAATCTTGGAAGATAACGGTAGGTCAAATTATATTAAGCTAAAGTGCCTTTCAGTTTATTCAGCTATCACTCTGTAAGAGAGCACAAAGTTGACTTTTTTAAAATAAATGTCAAGCCGATATCGAATTAAAATAAAATACCTCACATCGCATATTTAGTGCGATAAATTTAGCTGCAAGTATTGGATATTTACTGAAATTAATCGCAAAGTAATATTTTTTGTGAACGGATAAAACTTTTCCTTTCCTTTTAGACAAAATATATCTACAAAAATATATCTACAAAAAAAAAGAATGTTGTATCTCTCATGTCGGTTTCAAATCGGTCCGAAATAAATTGCCAATTATCAGGAACCGCCCAAAATCCGTTTTCCACGTTCTGGTGTTAATAACCGGAAAATTAAATACCGATCGAATCGAGCGGCGAGCACGTCGAACGGATCTATATTGAGCTTACGGAAGAATTATATTTTTCCTTGTATTATAATTAGTTTCTACGCAGCAGAGGGCACAAGTCCGATAAGAACGAAGGCAGGAGGGCGGGTAAGATGTGACTTACTGAGTACGTTGAGGTAAAACGCGGGATCACAAGACGATTTCTCTATCACACGGGGTAGTATCACAGTCTGGCACTCTTTCTCGGACGACGACGCCGAACGTTGTCGCGGGCACAGCAGGTGGGACTTGATCACAACGATGATCGCTACGACGATGGCGAGGGTGGTATCTCTCATGGGGAAACGATCGTAATATAACTTCGCAGACGATATCGGGCCACCGTCTCGAGGCAATGTTGACTTCCGGGCACGATCAACCCTTCCCGCTGTCTGGGATGCATTGATGCCGGACGAGTACCTCGCGCTAGTTTCCCTTTGTTCTTCTTCACCTGTCCCGAAAGCGATCGTTTGATCGAACGTAGGGAACCCGTCCTTGATTGATCCCTCGCTAAAACGGCGATCAGGGGGTCGACTTGCAGCCTGGGTTCTTTGGTTCTCCAGGACACCAGGATCTTATGAGTTCGTGCACGTAAAACAGCACGAAGTACTGCGGTTAATATTCTTAGCTTGTTGCTTAGATTGCGTGGATCACAGTCATGTATACTTGTCCCCTTGGGACTTTTTTTCTTCGACGAAGGTGTCTCCGATATAATCGCTCGCTTGAGATCCTTGAGTTTACTTGATCCTGTGTGACTCGATTTTGTGATGACTTGATAGTGATCTTGTTTTATCTCGGGCCGAACGGTTTTATCGAGTCAATGCTTTTTGTAACTTATGGAGAGAGTCGGCGGATAGTAATCGGCAATGATCGCGCGAGCGCGCAAATCCGACACTTCTCTCTATGAGAAGATCGACGAGGCACGTCTCGACCGCTCGGTCGCCGACGAGCGAAAAAATTCCGACTGGTAATGTGCGGTCACGTTTCTAACAATGCCAGCCTGATTGATCACAATTGTCACGAAGACTTGTCCCCGGAGAGGTTCGGTTCTCCGTCTCGACAGAAGGTCCCTAGCGAACTAGCGTAAGGTGGCTCGTACTCTCTCTCTCTTTCTTTCTCTCCCGTGCTTGCTGCCCCTTATTTAAGTGTGGTTGGGGGATAGCGACGAAGAAAGCAAACAGATCAAGGAGGGAGGGCGACGAGTGAGGGAAGCAATCGGTCTCAAGGAAAGCGACGTGTCTTGTCTGTGCACTCCGCCGAAGATCGAGTGCAAATCGTCTCGCACCATCGTTCAACCAGTAATTGGTTGACGTGAGTGCTTAGAGATTGAATTTGTAACCTGTTCACGCAAGCTACAGTTTAAGATTGATTATTAGTTGATCTTAATTAATTTTAATTATTACTCAATATATAACTGATGATTCTTTTTTATTGATGTATATAAAAATAAGCAGGAGAATATTAAATAAAATAAACACGAATAAATTTCATAGGAAAATCTATCTAATAATATCTTTTCCTCAATAATCTCTTTACTTGATAAAAGGGTAATGTTAAATACATTACTGTCATACAAAAGAGATTACAGATTACCTTTCCTTCAAGCGATTTGTTAAAAAAATTTTTTTTATTTAGATAAAAATAGGAAAATTATATTATATTTTTCTAACTGCATTTTAATTTTAATTTTAACATTTATTATATAATTATATGTTTTCGCGCTTTGCCGATTAAGAAATAGGTTCGTCGATGGCAGTATATCTTCGTCTTATTTTTTCATAAAGATATCGAATTATTGCAAAATTATTAACATATCAAATTAGAATTTTAGCTCTATTTTATACGAATCAATCGATGAAAGTCCATCAAGCGTCGCGAATGGGCCACAATCTGTCTGCAAACGATTTTATTGAATTTGCAAAATTCGGAAGTTGTATGGTGCGAGATAGAAAGATATATTCGCGACTGAAGAGAAATGTCCACGTTAAAGCGCCGGTTTGACAGACTCATTCGAAACGATTGCACTCGCATGTCGTGCATACAAATTAATTTCTGCCGCCTGTCCGCCGGTGTCTCTTACGGCTGGCGGGTCGTGAGTCGCGACGACGAGGTCTGCGAACCAAGATCGCCACCAAATTGAATGACCTCGGGAGGTCGTGCACGAAGTGCGAAGACATGCGAGATACGGCGGCTAGCCGGAGTTTTTTCGTTTTTTTTTTC